TGCCATTGGATGTTATTGTGCGGTACTTTTATTCCCCTGGCAAACTAGAGGGTGGCAAACGGCGTAGGGTGACCGATCCTATCTGGAGTGTGACCTCCCTTCAGGTTGAGCGGGGTGTGGTTGAGGGCGGGAAGCCTGTGTTTTATATTTGAGCGATGGGCACAAGTGCGCGTTTGTGCGCGAGGAGATCCAAGTGATGCCCTTTGGGACTGAAACACCAAGGGATTAGTCCATGGGTCCTCTCACGCTTTTATGAAAGCTTTCACTAACAATTAGTATCTTGCGCTTAGCCGTGGAACGGCTTTTCTACTGTGATTATCAGCATAATTACCCATGTTATTTATTATTTATTTGCCTGCGGCACCGGCTTCACTATGCCCGTATGCTAGGGTAGATATCCCATCGGCCGCGATGCAACGCTTCGTGTCCAGCGGGCTTAACAATGTCTTGTTGACATGCTCGCCGAAGATCTGATCCCAGGACTGCGCAGCATATCAATACCGAGGCGGAGTCGCTTTGCTTCACAGAGCGCCTCTTTTTACTGGGCATGACTGATATGCTTTTCCACTACGGCCTTTTTAACACCTTTGGCTTTGCGCTCCTCCAGACCATCGGCTTTTAGGATAGAGTACATCTTGGGCCTGAGCCCCACAAACTCAGCGATAGGCGCCCCAGCGCACTCTTCCTTAGCTTTCCCCAGCACCTTCTTGTTGGCTGTGCTGAACAGAGAATGGTCTTTGGGGTAGTTGCTGGTGTCGTACTGACCGGCATTTGTTTCAAAGTTGACACAGCCAGGAGTGGCTACGGCGACAAGCTCCCGGTGTTTACAAAATGCTCCTTACGGCGTGCGTCTCAAACAGCCTCTGTCAACAAAGTCCAACTCCTGGCCTGCTCGTGTGGCTTTACTTTTAGCCCGGCGGAACTGCTTTTACCGACAGGAGAAGGGGCGAAGGCGGGTCTCTGGTGCCTTAAAATCAGATGCTTTGGGCAGGTGGTGGCTCGTTAACCCAGGAAGGAAGCTCACCTAGGGGAAGGAGAACCCTGACTCCAAACCGCCGCCGCCTTGCGGTGTACTCGGTCACGGGAAAGGAGACGGATACTCCGAAGAAGAATGCTGCAACTGCTGGGGCCGCTCTACACGTGGCAGCTTCTACACCTGTGGAGCATTGAGCGTCAGTAGGCGAGAGGGTGGAGACGGCATGCACATCCCCTCTTCACCTAAAACATTCACCTGTGCTGGTCAGGCAAGCAGGTTTGCCGGAATCAAATGATGCAACCATTCCTTTTTTGCGCCAGCTATCTCAAGTCCTGTGGCGATGGAGAAATGGAGACGGGAACAGGCCGAGGTTGCTGCTGTAAGTTCTTAGCCACGACTCTGCACGCAGGCGGCTGCGAATTGATGGCCGTCCGCCGTAAACCTAGGGCAGATAGGGCGCCTGTATCCTCTTGCAGTGACAGAGCAGCCCTCATTAGTGTTAGACACTGCTCTCCCCACTTGGGGAAAGGGAAATAAAAGGATCCCTAAACAAAGCCTGCCCTACTTACACCTGGCAAGAACCGCACCTGCCTGGGCATCAAACTAAGCGGTCGTACAACTAAGGATAACAAGACAGGAAAGCACTTAAGCATTGGGGCATGGAACGTGAGAATGCTGTTCGACAGAAGAGACAGACAAGAGCGACGCACTGCTCTAATAGCAAGGTTGCTTAGACAATACCAGGTGGACATAGCCACATTGAGTGAGACCAGACTTGAAGATGAAACTCAACTGGAAGAAGTAGGTGGTGGCTACGCCTTCTACTGCATTGGGAAACCGGAAAATGCCCCAAAACACTCAGGCGTGGGATTTGCCATACGCACTCAGCTCGCAAGGCGACTAGTCAGCTTGCCACAGGGCATCAGCGATCGCGTCATGACCCTGTGGTTGAAACTCTAGAAAGAGTGCAACGCAACAATTGTCAGCGCCTACGCCCCTACAATGGCAAACCCAGATGAAGTGATGGAAGCCTTCTACGAAGAGCTCAACCAGCTACTCTCAAGTGTTGACCGCAGAGACAAACTCATCATCCTTGGTGACTTTAACGCACGAGTTGGAGTTGACTACACCATCTGGCCAAACATTCTGGGTCGCCATGGAGCTGGCAAGTGCAACTCCAATGATCTGATGCTACTATCTCTCTGCGCACAGCACGAGCTAACCATCACTAACACTCTCTTCCAACAAGCTGACAAGCTGAAGAACACATGGATGCACCCTCGCTCCAAACAGTGGCACATGCTGGACTACGTAATCGTCTGCCAGAGGGACCGCAGAGATGTGCACATCACACGCTGCATGTGCGGTGCCGACTGTTTTTTTGATCACCGCCTGCTACAGAGCAAGATGAACATCTAGCTAGCCAGAAAGAACAAATCAGCAAGAAAGAAGCCACTGAGGAAGTTGAATGTAGCTCGCATTCTACCCAGCAAAGAAGAGCTGCAAGAGATGCCAGAGGTAGCCCTGGGAAACATTAACATCACGAGGAGGATATAGATGAAGACTGGACCACTTTCAAAGAAGCCGTCTACAACTCTGCATCGAGTGTCCTTGGATACGTTGAGCGAAAACATCGAGACTGGTTTGACGAGAATGACGCCAAAATCAACAGGCTTATTGACAGGCTCCATAAGGCTCACAGTGAACTTATAGGGACAAATCTTGCGAGAAGAAGAAGCAAGAGTACCAGCAAGGGGGGCAGCATGTGCAACACAAGCTGTAGGAAATTAAAAAGGCCTGGTGGGAAAAGAAAGCCTAAGAAATCCAAGTGGCAGCTGATGCTCACGATTCAAAAAAGGTCCACGATAGGCTTCGCGTGGTATACAGTCCAAAATCGTCAGGCTGTACCCCCATCAGGTCTGCAGACCGAGCGACACTGCTAAAAAACAAAGTTGACATACTTTCACGCTGGGCTGAATACTTCAACAAACTGCTGAATAGAGAGTCACAGATGAACTAAGAAGCCATTGAGTCCCTCCCCCACCTGCCAATCCCCCAGCTTCCAATCAAAGAGGAAATTCCCGACCCACCCACCAGAGACGAGGTTGCGAAAGCCCTCAAGCAGACAAGGTCTGGAAAGGCTCCTGGGGCTGATGGCATTCCAGCTGACGTCTACAAGAACGGAGGCCAGGCACAGCTGGACAAACTGACATCCTCATTCCAGGAGGTTTGGAAAGTTGCCAAGGTCCCCCAGGACTTCAAAGATGCTGCCGTCGTGCACATCTATAAGAGGAAGGGCGATAAGACCTCATGTGACAACCATGGAGGATATCCCTCCTCTGCATCGAAGGCAAGGTTTTGGAACGAGTAGTCCTCAATAGGCTAATCAGAAATGTTGCGAGGCCATCGTCCCTGAATCTCAGTGTGGTTTCTGGGGAACTACTGACATGGTTTTCGCTATCCGCCAGTGGCATGAAAAGTGCCGCGAGCAAGAAAAGGAACTCCACATGGTCTTCGTAGACCTAACTAAGGCTTTCGACACCGTTAACCGGGAAGGCCTTTGGGGGATCCTGGGAAAATTTGGGTTTTCAAAAAACTAGTCTCTCTGGTAGCCCCCTTTCACGATGGCATGCAGGCAAGTGTCCAGGAAAGTGGGGAGACATCGGACCCATATGCTGTGAAGAACGATGTGAAGCAAGGTTGTGTTCTTGCCCCCACTCTCTTCTCCATCCTGCTCACAGCGATGCTGCTCGACGCCTTCCGTGACTTCGACAAATAGGTGTACATTCAGTTCCGTACTGATGGAAAGCTCTTCAACCTCAGAAGACTTCAGGCCAAAACCAAAGTCTACGAGGCACTCTTGCGTGAATTTCTTTTCACAGATGACTGTGCACTAGTCACCCACTCCCATGAAGCCATCCAGTGAATAACAGACCGCTTCGCAGCTGCATGTGATTGCTTTGGGCTTACCATCAGCCTAGGCAAGACGGAGACCCTTGTCTGGCTTCAACCATCCCAGACTCGTGACACCTCACCACCACCTCCTGTCATAATTAACCACACCAACATCAAGACTGTTGACAAATTCTGCTACCTTGGCAGCACCATCAGCAACATTGATTCCCTGGACGCAGAGGTAACGCCGCGTATTGCAAAGGCCAGTGCTGCTTTCGGCAGACTAAAGAGAAGACTCTGGCAGGAACACGTCATCAAGATCGTCACCAAAATTTCTGTGTACAAGGCTGTGGTCCTGAGTGTTCTGCTGTACTGCTGTGAAAACAGGGCCACTTATCGCAGGCACCTACAACAGCTGGAACAGTTCCACCAGCGCTGCCTGAGAAAAATCCTCCGTATCATGTAGCAGGACAAAGTGTCAACCTTGAAGTTCTTGAAAGGTGTGGACTTCCCAGCATTGAGAGCTTGATCATAAAAAGCTCAACTCCGATGGACAGGCCATGTCGTAAGGATGGATGACAGCATAATCCCAACGATGCTGCTATATGGTCAACTACAAGACAGGAGCCGTGTCCAAGGAAGACCAATGAGGAGATACAAAGACACCCTTAAAGGATACATGAAGAGCTGCAACATAGACCCAAACACCTGGGAGGAGTTCGCGGGAGACAAACTGCAGTGGAAGCATCTATGCTCCCAGGGCGTTTGGAACTTCGAAGCCAGTAGAGTAGACGCCATCTAGGAGAAGGTGGCCCAAAGGAAGCAACGCTCTGCCCCTCTTTTCTCGTACCCCTGCAGCGTTTGCATGTTAAAAAATCGTAAGACATAGTTCTGACCTTTCTTTTAAGAAATGTAAAGGGCACAAGTCATCTTCGCTAATGTAAATTCTATGCTCATACTTTTGTGTCGTGTTCGTACATGTTCCAAAAATAATAGAGATCAAGGAAGCAATTTTTACATAGTGCTTTACATTACTGCACGAGGAAAGACAAGGAGAATGGAATGTTTATTAATGATTTCGAGTAAAAAGTGAAATCTTAAAAATCAATTGCTATTAGCCACTGCTTACTTGAATTATTTGGCTTTGATTTTCCTGCTTCATAAGACTGAGCAAAGGCTGCGAACGTACTTTGTACGATTTTCCTGTTTTGCTTACTCCAAATATTTTGCCATTATAGGTATCAAGTACTGATAAAAAAGGAAGAGGCTTTAATAAAGACTTGGCTTGCTTTTTCCTGCAGTATGAACGTACATAACAACAATTTTTGAGTGGTCAACTAACTTAATTAAATTAAAATCACTTAAAAATTCAGTAAAATCTTATTTTCATTGAAGAAATCAGTAAAAATAATGTTCAATGATGTTTAAGAATGAAGGAAATGCCGTAGTTTTATAATACCAAACGTTGCGATGTTCTATAATACCAAAATTCAGCGCTCGGTATTAGTCAGAAAAACTGCTAGATCCACCACTGATTTCTGGCAATATGTAATTACATACATTGGCTCTCAAAAATAAATTATCGCACATGCACCAGCAGCAAATCAAAAGATTTTCTCAAAATACAAACAAACTTGTGATAATCGCAAAGTAAGCACTAGCTTAAAATTCAAAATAAGGAAGTGAAAATGGTGGAAATCGATCACGTGACGAGTATAGCCCATTAGCCCTTGCAAATCAGTGAAAAAAACATGTCCCATCTATTCCATTAGAGGGCTCCTGAATGCACCGATGAGTTCTATAAAAACTGAAGGGGCTAAGTGGACTGAGGCGATGACACCAAAAGCATAGATGCCAATTGACGAATTGATGCTTGATGAAATTTCTATTCACAAACATGTAAAATGGTCATGAAATTTCTGTTTCTGTGAATATTGAGAGCGAGATGGACGATAACTCGCTGCAACTGGAGTTGTCAACCAGTGAGTTGATTTTCGTAAAGTCATATCATATATATTTTTCCTGTAATATTTGAGTACGGTGTTGCTTAAATGTTACTATTATGTATCTAAAGCATGCCATATTGAAGCCTTAAAGAATCAGCAATGAAAGTTTCAGTGCTATATATTGCTTCTTAATTTCAGTTGTTCCTTAAAGAACATTTTGAGCTTATTTACCTGTTAGAGTGCGGAATGGACATTTATCATTTGCTTTAATTTCTGCTTTTTTTAAACAAAGAACCTTTTTTGTTTTCTCGAAGTTATTTCTTTAATTTTTTGCTTCATAATTCTTTTCATATGAATGAGGTAAGTACTACAATTAAATAAGTTTATAATTTCTGAAAATCTGTTAAGCTTCTAGTATTTAAGTGCACAAAATGTGTTTAATTTTATTGGCTTTACCCCCTTACTTCATCATAAGTACATTATTAGTCAATCAAATTAAATCCTACAAATTCTAAGTAATATCCTGTAAGTTAATTGCGATCATTGAGATCACCACTCCAATCTTCCTCTGAGTCATCAACGATATCTAAATTGGAATTTACCAAGAATGTTAATTGTAAACCTAAAGCTCCTTTAGGATATCTTAATACGTGCTTTGCTGCTTTCTAATGTGACATGTCAGATTTATTTAGAAACCACAATAGCTGAATAACAATGCAAAAGAAGTCGATATCGGTTTTGTACCAATAATTAGTAATGGAACTAATAAACTTCTGTATGAATTTGGATTCACTAATTTCTTGTCGTGTTTGCATTTGATTAACTTCATATTAACTTCTCCATGCTGCAGCTGCTTTACAGTCACTCATATTAAATTGTTGAAAAAGTCAATAGACGTATTTCTTTTGATCAATGATAATCTTGAGAAAACTCTATTGTCTATGTGGAAGGCATTTATACTGATATAAAATTTCGTTCCATGAAAATTCGAGGAAATTTTAACTATATATGGCAACGGGGACTGAATCTTCTAGGTGCACAGATGCCATAAAACAATTTGGTATCATAGACAGGTCACAGACCACAGTGTGTTCACCTTAAAGTAATGATATTCCACAAATGTGTTAAAATATTTCAAATTCAAAATCATACAATGACTCCCAACTTTCTTAGGGCGGACAAAGTTGGGGAGTAAATTCACCATGCTCATGGGATGATAGAATTAATGAATTATGATCTTTTGGCCAACAGTTTAGTTATTTCATAATCATTAATTTGTTGTTTAGATTCTCTGAATGTATGATTTACTTTTTTGCAAAAAGGAGGGGTCCTTCAAAAAGTTCTATTGTGTAGCACTGAATGTAACAATAATTTCTGTGTCGGATATTTTCCACTCATCAAGAAATCAAGTTATGTTTCCGGCAAAAAGTGTATTAATCTTTTCTGCAATTCGTTTTTAGTATTAAAAATCATTTTGTGATTGAAAACTCACTTTTTGAAACAATGGATATTTAGGCTGGGTGTTACTGATGTTTTTTTTCTGTGACAACTTGCGGTACCATGACCTCTGATTTGGCCATGGTTTCTTCTTCAATAAAAAATGCTTTCTTGGATTGTTCTGGCGAGGCCCAGATTTCAACGCATTACAGGCGTGATTGTAATTGTTTTATATCCCATGTATAACCTCCATATAAGCAAGAACCGGTCAGAAGTGGGCCTCTGTGTTTACCCGAAAAACTCTTCTTCTATAGCTGGAATGTCATCCTCCTCGAGATCTGATGTATTATGGTTTATTTCGATATTAAGTGATTGTTAGCTCGTTACAGATATGTTGTATCTCTTAATGTATGCTCACACAGCAAAGTGTCTTGTATGACGGGCAGCACAAATTGTGTCCACCCAAATAAGTATTTTGTCGGTACAATTTACCATTTTCAACAAAGTATAATTCGCGTCTAATGTGAAGCAGAATCAAACGAACACTGATGATGTGAACAGGCGAGTGCTATCTCATGTGACTTTGTCACGAAGTCACCGGTGACGAAATAAAAGCAAAATGATACTCACGTGTAAACAATCTACAAAGGCTTTAAACTATATTTCTCAATAATCAATATACATATATTGTCTTTATATTGTAAGCGTTAAGGTATTTAAGGCATTTATAAACTGTAAACATTTTTATGTGATATATTTCTTGCATTTTTCATGTATTGATTGTAAGTAATAATGTTGCAAAATATTGACTATTCAATTTTATGATCGATGCACTCGCATTATTTGCATGATCCTGAATCCACCCCTGGCGAAAAGCAGTATATTTAAAAGTATTTGGGGGTGTGAATATAAGCTGCAATGGTTTTAACTAAAGGTGAAAGTGTATATTAACTATTGAAAGAGAAATGTAGACGTAAACAATTGTTCTTCAAACTTCTTGAGCAAAACTACACCAGCCTAAACCAAACAGCCAATAAGAATTTACAGCATTTATTAAAAGTTCAACTTGTGAGATATTACTGTAAGTCCGAGTTACTCCGGCAGATTATAATGGCAATTTGCAAATGATCAAGAGACGAAGGAGGCATTCACAAAGGTATTTTTTAAAATCTTAGACGTAAACACTTTGCAAAGTCGTTTTTACTTAGGTATGAGCATCGTTTTTGGTATATTTATAGTATGAATTTACCATATTTCCATCGTCTGAAATTAACAATTTTGTCTGATTGTGCGCATAAGAGCGGCCATACTGTCTCGCGTTTCCGGCCATCATGTTTTAAACTCATTGAAGAAAACGAGTGGCAAGTTTGGAATCTGAAGCTTACCAGATGCGTTTTGAGCACATTACGACAAAGATAATAGAAAAGATGGATACAGTTAGATCATGTAAAATGACCAAGCTTCTCCAACTATATCTATCTTCATTGGACGAGGTGTAAATTAAAACAAAAATATATTAAAAGAAATTTAGAAGACAAGTTTGGTGTGTTGCTAAGGTTTGAAAATTGAAGCAACTGCCAATATTTCTCTAATAACAGCTAGTAAGTATGACACACCATTACGAAGTGTCAAAAGTTAGTGAATGTTGTTATACAAGGATTGGCAAGTCAAAATATTCCATTCATTCAAAAGCTGGTGAAATATGTGCATTAATCCAGAATGTAGTAATTTGAAATCTGAGTAATGAGGAACCCTGATACAATGGTCCTATAATATTTAATTAAACTTATA